ATTTTCTCAGATTTTAGCAATGGATGTCATTACCCACACTGTACCCGTGAGAACCCAGGACCCTCGGAGCTTTGGGCTCACGGTGAGCGAGTGCCCGACTGGGGACTTCACCAGGTCTGCCCACCTGAATGGCTGGGTTCTCATACACCAGCTTTTTTCTCTCAGCATAAAGCTTCTTAATCAGGTCTCAACTTTAGCCATGTGGTCTTGCTTCTTTCCATTTGCAAAGTCCAAATAGTAATAAACACATCTGAACTCTTCAGACGCACTAAGATGACTATTATCATAAAAACAAATAATGACAAATATTGGTGAGGACATGGAGGGACTCACACCCTCATAAACTACTGGTGTGAACAGAAAATGGTGCTGCTGGAAAACAGTTTGGCCATTCCTCCAAAATTAAGCATAGAATTCCCGTCTGAGCCTGCATGTCCACTTCCAGGAATCTGCCCACACGAGCTGAAAGCCGGGGCTCAGACAGATTCCTGCCCTTGTTCATGCAGCCAAAGCGAGAGGCACCTCAGCTGCTGAGTGGCCTAGTGATAATAGAGCTGATATTCATTAATGCCTTCCACAGCCAGGCTCTGCACTCGTGTTTCTCAGTCATTTTCTCATTTAACCCTCCCAGCAGCTCTAGCAGAAGGTACTGCTTTATCCCCACTTAGACTCTCAGTGGCCTCATCTGTAAGCAAACACTCATGCTACCCACCTCATTAGTGGCATCCACACAGCGGCTAGCTTACAATATGAGTGTAGTATGCTTAATATTTCACAGCCCCTTCCCTCACTAAAGGCCACTGTGAAGCAGCTGCTGTGTGGAGAGGATCTCCTGAGGATCTCAGGTGAGTCGCTGAGGCTCAGAGAGGTTAAGTAAATTGCACAGGGTCACACAGCAGATATCTACCTAATGCCAGGGCCTGGGTCTTTCCGACTCACTGTGATGGCCCTGACATAGCTAATCTGAGTGCCTGCTGCATCCTGTGGCAAAATTTAGGGAGATGGGACATGATGGGTCCCTGAGAAATTCAGAGAAGGAATAAATAAGAGTTAAAGCTCAATGGCATCTGTATGTGGGGGGAAGGGACTAAAGAAGTACAGAAGATAACTCACTATCCTCTTTAAATATATATATATAATATATATATATTTTTTTTTTTTTCCAGAGAGAAGGGAGAGGGAGAGAGAGATGGAAACATCATGATGAGAGAGATCATTGATTGGCTGCCTTCTGCATGCCCCCTACTGGGGATCGAGCCTGCAACCCAGGCATGTGCCCTGACGGGGAATTGAACCACGATTTCCTGGTTCATAGGTTGATGCTCAACTACTGAGCCACACTGGCCAGGTGAATTACCCTCTTATGAAGCCTGGCCCACTCTACTCTGGCCCAAGACTCCCACTGCAACTGGGCAGAAAGAATGGACTTCAAAATAGTTTCTTTACTCCTAACAGAGGGTCTGTCCATTCCAGAAAGCCCAGGCCCCTGAGGGGCTTCCAGACTCTCACTGACATTTGCAATGGCACTGCCTCTGTTTCCTGGACTATTACACCACCACCATCACTGCTGCAGTTCCTGCTCCGCTTCCCCTCCCAGGTGCTCAGACGGTGTCACCCTTGTTAGCTCCAGGTCCAGAGAACTCGGACGCATGCTCCCAGAGCTCCCCTGGCCTGTGCCCACCCACGAGGAGAAATGCGCTTGGAAAGCGGGAAGTGTTGTAATGCAATCTCCCTCATCCTCACAGCGGCCCCAGGTTACACATGAGAGGACGGGGCTCAGCTCATCAGTGTGACTCTCCAAGGCACCCAAGGAGCCCAACAGAGGGGCGCTTGCTCGGTCTCCTGACTTCACAGGCCAGTGCTTTTCCACCAGAAAAACCACCCCAATCACCATCGTCATCACTTCTGAGAAGAGGGCGGGTGGCACACAGATTGGTGATGCTGTCTTCTTAAAACTCTCTAAGCCAAGCAACTCCAACTCCTTATTCTTGTTACTGTGCTGGGAACTCATACTCCAAATGCCTGGCCTCCCCCCCATGGGGTCACCCCCATGTCGCCATGCTTACCGCATCTTTCTCTGCTTTCTGGGGAGCGGCCCTGACCGCCTGGCACACGCAGCAGCCCTGGCCGCCTGACACACGCAGCAGCCCTGGCCGCCTGGCACACGCAGCAGCCCTGGCCTCCGGCCCCCTCCTCTCTCCTCCCCAGGCTCCCCAAACAGGACACAACTGCATTTTACTCTCTCTTTCCTCTCCTGCCCACTTTCAGGGCTTCCCCTCGTGCCCCCTTACTTTAAGCAAAAGCTTTTGTCTTGCTCTGGGAATCATCTAATCCTTTCTCCCTTCCACATGCTCTAATGTACAGCCGTGTTAGATAGAAAAAATATACACATAAGCAGAGAAGGGCCTGGCGTTTGACATGCTGAGGGGCGGGGCCTGTGGGGGATTCTGGATCTGGACCTGGTGCTGCTCGCCCCGACAGTGCTCTGTAGTTGCACGTGTGCTGTGTGAGGTCTTCACAAGGGGCTGGACTTCCAGGAAGCCAGTCCAGCAGGGGGCAGGAGTGTGGGGAGCTGGGGAGGGAACCCCGATACGGGAAAGAGGCCCCCTGGATTCTTCAGGGGCTTTCAGCTCTGGGAGCAGAGGCCTGTGGAGGCGTCAGTGTGAAGAGGCCCACAGCCGCCTGCACTCAGCGCTGCTCATAGGACCCCAACAGCTGGACAAGAACAGGACCGCGCAGCCCGGCGTTTCCTGGGCAGGCACCGCCCACGCCGCACAGGGCAATGCCCAGACCCCGTCCCTGCACCCCGGGGGACGTATCCTATCACATACGCTGACCAAGAAAGTTTAACTTTTATGTAACTTTTTCCTCCTTAAGATTTAAGAGTTAAAGCTGTGAGGTGAGATTCTGCTCACTAACATACTTGTATCTGCTTTATATCTTCTAATGGTTATTTTCATGGAGAGATGTAGTTAAGCAATTAACAACGATCACCGGCAGGGCCCCCCGAGAGCAGCCATGTGGTTCAAGTGAGTCCCTTTTCCCTGGGCCTGCCATGTGCCTTTAAACCCCCAGCCACGTGGGTGTGTGGTTCCTCTCCCAGAACCTTCTTCCTTCCTTGCTTATCTAGAAAAGCCCCACGGACTTTCAGGGAGCAGCTTAAAATCTGCTTCTATGGGGCCTTCTTTCCTCCTCCTCCTTCTCCTAGTCCTCCTCTTTCTCCTCCTCTTCTTCCTCCTCCTCCTCCTCTTCCTTTTCTTCCTTCTCCTCCTCCTCCTTCTCTTCTTCCTCCTCCTTCTTTTCTTCCTCCTCCTCCTCTTCTTCCTCCTCCTTCTCTTCCTCCTCCTCATGCTCCTCCTCTTCCTCTTCCTCATGCTCCTCCTCTTCCTCCCCCTCCTCATGCTCCTCCTCTTCCTCCTCCTCATGCTCCTCCTCTTCCTCCTCCTCCTCCTTTTCTTCCCCCTCCTCATGCTCCTCCTCTTCCTCCTCCTCATGCTCCTCCTCTTCCTCCTCCTCCAAAGCCTGCCCCAGGTTGATCGAATGGCCCCCACTTTAGGGTGTAGACCATTTTGTACACATCTAATAGAATTTACCACTTTGCACAATGGATACTTTGCATTTTCCAAGGCAAATTTAGTTTCCTATTCCCATTTTAATCCCTAATTCCTGGCGCAGCGCCTGAAACATCAAAAGCACATCTGGATGAAGGGGCCACTTGAGTGGTCTCAAGATGTCATTCATTTATAAAATAAAACAGACTTCTTCTCTGAATGACTGCTATGACGGCTCTATCGGTAACAGCCAGAAACTGGAAGCAACCAAAATGTGTCTCAATAGGTGGGTACATCCACACCAAAAGTCCAGGCAGCATGGATAAGGAACAGACGATGGACTCACATAACAACCTGGTGATTCTCAAGGGCACGGCGCTGGGAGTGACAACAGTTAACCTCAAAAGGTCACTGTGTGATTGCATCAAATAGCATCCTTGAAGCTATAAAACAACAGAAATAGAGAACAGAGTAGGAAGAGTGGGGATCAGGGTGGTGGTGAGGTTATAAATAGTAGCACAAGGGAGATTTTTGTGGTGATTAAATAGTTTTGTATCTTGATTGCAGTGGGAGTTACACAAATCTACACATTTTGAGAGATGTGCCATTTGCTATCCTGGTTTTGATGTTATTGTAATTAAATAAGATGTCATACCTGGAAGAAACTGGGTGCATTTCCTTTGTGACTTCCTATGGTTCTTTTATTTTATTTTACATAAAAAGCTATAAAATTCTTCTAAAAACCCATTCTCTGACGTTCTTCTTCTCTCTAGTTGAGTGCCTGTACTTCATAACAACCTTTCTCTCTTCTTACTGATTCACAATTTCAAAACGCTTCCACATACATCAAATCACATCTTTTTAAAATGCAGCAACTCCATGACACAGCTGCTCTTACCCTGTTTTACAGACCGAGGCTCGGCACTGGCTGGAGGGCACAGAGTTGGTAGGTGGCAAAGTTGGTGCCCCCACCTCACCCAGTAAAATGTCTACTGACTTCTTTCTCATCTGCAAAGGGGGGGTTGGAAGACACGGTCTCTGACGGTGCATCAGCGATGACACCTCGGGCCACATGCACTTGCTGTGGCCTCGCTGTCCTGCGGGAACCAGCACCCGGCTCTGGCGGGGCGGGCGGGGACCGGCAGCCAGCAGCCGGGCCTCCCAGGGCACTCCTCTCCCAGGGCAGGCTGTGCTGTGTAGCACGTGGCACTTGGACGGAGGGTCAGACTCTACAAATCCCCACTCTCCCAAGACGAAGAGTCGTCGAGGTGAGTGAGAATGCAGTAGTTCTTGAACTTCCATGTTCCTAGGACACCCTGCCTATCGGGCTGGCCTCTGCTTCTATTTTCCCGTCCCCACCTCCTGGGCTTCATTCTGTGCCCGCCCCGCCCCCCCCCCCGACTAAGGACACTCTCCATGCCAAGGAAGTGGACTGTGAAAATGTCTTACCAGATTAGTGAAGATGTACGTGTAATAGGCTGACACCATCCCTAGCTCAGCTGCCTGCAAAGGGAAGAGAAGGAGATTAGAGAGGAAAGCGATGTCCACTTGAAGTGAAGGAGCAGCGAGCGCTCCGTGTCTGCCGCTCATCCGGCTCACTGGGCTTCGCTCCAGGCAGAGGAGAACATTGGGATCTGTTCTTATTTTGCCCTTGACCTTGAAGGACGGGGCACAAAATCACTGGCCTCTAGAGCAGGTCTCCCCACCTCCGCCCCACTCCCACCCACTCAGTGACTCCCAAAGCAGCTGCTGTCGTCATGCACAACAGGAGCAGGATAGGAGCAGGAATCCTGGAAAGCAAACGACTGCAAGGAGAACGAAGCAGGTAACAAGCCAGGCTGTGAGGATCACCTCCACACCTGCTAGCACTGGCAGTGGCTGAGCCACAGCCGCGGTGCTGAGCCGGGGACTCGTCTCACTTGGGCGAACTGAGGAGGCGGCATCGCCTCCCCGTCTGACAGTGGAGGAACCGCAACACCAGAGGCCCTGTAACTTGTCCAAGTTCAAAGGCCTCATGGATGGAGACGCTGACAGTAAAGCCAGGTCCCCCCACCTCCCAAAGGACTGCAATATGAATGGAAATCCTGCTGGAAATTCTGACACAATTTTCTCAGGAGCCAAGGTGTACCCAGAGAGGCTGTGGGTTGAAGGCAATTCCCAATGAACCCCACGCGTGTCAGAATGCAAGGAGACAAGACGCCTGGCCTGTGGTCAGGCGGGAAACAGGGGGCTTCTGCATTAGTGAGAACCAAGCTGTCGGGACGGGACGCGCCTCAACCTGGACCACAGCACACAGTGTGGTGTCCCCGCAGGACGAGACGGCGGCTTCAGCACAGCCTCCCTTTGGTCTCATCTCTGCAGCAGTCATGCATGCTCCTCACCACCCTCCCGGGGGCAGTGAGCCCGGCTGTGTGTGACACTCCCAAAACCAACGAGCAGATCCAGTAAATAAGCCCAGCTCCCCAGGCCTGTCCCTCCCTCCACAGATGGCAGGTTCCTAATGTGACTTCCTCTCTGGCCACTGTCATGGCTAGGGAGGTGCCGGGGAGAAACACCCTGTGATGATCCCACTTTCCTGTTTACCCCCCGAGTAACGCCCATAACCCTGGGGGCATTCTTGAAGGACACCCCATCTCCCTGAAGAGCAGGCTGGGTAATGGCATTGCCACCACTCCAGTGGAGATGCCGTGCAGAGCCTGAGTGACTGGGCAGGGGCATGTGGGGTCATGATGGAGCTCAAGGCTCCTAGTTGAGGCCCTCACTTCCCCAGCAAAGCTCCGTTTGCTCCTCCTCTTCTGAGAGGATGATGTGTCAAGATGCCTGCCCCCACCCCTCCCCACTGCCCAAGCTGGTGGCAGCCACCTGGAGGCAGGAGTGGGCTGGGGCAGGAGGCCGAGAGGGAGCACTGTTAGATGGTTAAACGCATTTTGTGAAGTCTGCTGTCCTATAGATAAAAGACAAGAGAGGCTTGGTTTTTAGGACTGAGTTCTCTGTAAATATAAAAGTCACTGCCGGAACAGTCACACGATAAGAGGAGGGCTTACCCTGCAAATCCTCCTGAAATTGAGAGACAGCAGATGCGGCCACGCTCGGGGCCAGGCTCAGCAGCGCACAGGGTCCCAGAGCGCCTTGTGCTCTCTGCTCACGCTGCCTTGCCCACTGAGCCCGCCCCCCTCCTGAGGGCCCTCAAGGCTGGCTCTCATTCTGTGCAGGGGAGCGTGGGGCCCGGGGAGCGTGGGGCTGACCCAGGCCTGGTGCCAGGCCTGCTGCCGGGGCCACTAGGAAGTCACCTGGGAACAAAGGGCGCAGGCTTTGCGGTGCCTCTCTGGTCATGCTGGTCAGTGTGGCTCCCAGGTCACAGGGCCGCAGCCAGTAAGTGGTCTCGGGAAACTGCCGCTGGCCCTGCAGAACCCTTTGCTACTAATGACCTTCACAGGCCAACTGTCCTTCAAAAGCACAGACATTAAAACATTAAAAATCATCTTAAATGACAATAGGTGGCATTGGCAAGGTTGCCATAAGACACCCACACAGCTGGTAGGACTCTCAATTGTTATGGACTTTCTAAAAGGCAATCATATCAATATCCTTCAAACGTGCATACCTTTCACTCAGTAATTCCACTTCTAGAAATCTATGCCAGGAGAGTATTCGTGAATGTGTGTAACATTCTTTATACAGCAAAAGGTTAAAACTAGCCTGCATCTCCAATAATAAAGCAATCTATACTAATAAAAGGGTAATATGCTAAGGAGACCAGGTCAACCAGCCATCTTCCGGACGTCCGACTTCCTTCCAGACAAAGCCATGGTGGTGGGGGCCGAGGACATGCTGTTAGGGACGATCAGGCCGGCAGGGGAGGGCCACTGGGGGGCGAGATCAGGCTGGCAGGGGAGGGCAGTTAGGGGCGATGAGGCAGGCAGAGATAGTTAGGGGCAATCAGGCCGGCAGGAACTGGCAGTTAGGAGCAAGATCAGGCCAGCAGGGAAGGGGAGTTGAGGGCGAGATCAGGCTGGCAGGAGAGGGCAGTTGGGGGCAACCAGGGTGGTGGGGGAGGGCAGTTGGGGGCAAGAGCAGGCCAGCAGGGGAGGGCCATTGGGGACAAGATCAGACTGGCAGGGGAGGGCCGTTGGGGGTGAGATCAGGCCAGCAGGGAGGGCAGTTGGGGGCAATCGGGCCAGCAGGGGAGCAGTTAGGCGTCAGTCAGGCTGGCAGGGGAGTGGTTAGGGGGTGATCAGGCCAGCAGGTAGAAGTGGTTAGGAGCAATCAGGCAGGCAGGCAGGCAAACGGTTGGGAGCCAGCAGTCCCAGATTGTGAGAGGGATGTCTGACTGCTAGTTTAGGCCTGATCCCTATTGGGCCTAAACCTGCAGTCAGACATTCCCCGAGGGATCCCAAATTGGAGAGGGTGCAGGCTGGGCTGAGGGACAACCCCCCTCCAGTGCACGAATTTTGTGCACCAGGCCTCTAGTCTTATCGAATAAAGAGGGAATATGCTAATTGACCCTCACATCATCACAAAGATGGCGGTGCCCACAGCCAATAAGGAGGGAATACGCTAATTGACTGCCCCACCCTAAAAGATGGCAGCGCCCAGTCCCCTCAGCCCCCCAGCCACCCAGAGCCGCCCGAAGCACAGGTAACCAGGGCCGGCCGAGGCTTGCGCTGCCGGCAGTGGCAGCAGCAGAGATGTGATGGGGCGTCACCTTCCCCTGATCACTGGGTCGCCTCCCGCCCCTGAGGGCTCCCGGACTGTGAGAGGGGGCGGCCAGGCTGAGGGACTCCCCTCTAGTGCATGAATTTTTATGCACTGGGCCTCTGGTAGTTAAGTAAAGTATAATACATTATGATAGCAAATGATGCAGCTATTGAAATATTCATAGAAAAATATGTCATGGCATGGGGAAATGCATGGCATATAATTAAGCAGAAAAAAGCAGGTTACAGGAGAGTATGTGTGGGGTGATAATTTTGGGGGAAATGAGTCTATAAAGACAGAAAGAATAGACATCAGAATTTAATAGTGGTAGTCTCTGGGTAATGGAACTGTGAATACTTTCTATTTTCTTCCCTGTGCTTTTCTGTACTTTCCTGAATTTCAACAATAAACTACACATACCATTTCAGAGAGAGAGACCAGATGCAGCTGCGGGAAACCGTGAGGCACTGCTGGGCCAGGGCTGTCCCGGAGGCTTCCCGGGAACTGCCAGACCCTGGCTACTGCAAGGGGTGCATGCCGATCTGCCCTCTGCCAGGAGGCTCATACCCCCCCTCTTCCTGAGGACTCCTCAGCCTGGATTTCTTATGTCCTAAAACTTAGAGGAGCTTTTTCCATGATGACTTCATTGATCCTAGTCCCAGACATAAGAGAAGAAAGAGGAGGAAGGGAGAAAACTTGTGTGTGTGTGTGTCTGTGTGTGTGTGTGTGTGTGTGTGTGAGAGAGAGAGAGAGAGAGAGAGAGAGAGAGAGAGAGAGACAGAGAGAGAGAATTGGGTATATGCACACAGACAGACATAGGTTTGAGCTGTGAGAAATTATTATAGCAATAGGCTGAAGAAATAACCCTCGGTACTCAGAATGCATTCGCATCTCTTGTGAACTTGGAGACAAAAACTAGCTGGGGAGGGGAGGCTGGGAGAGAGGGAGGGCGGAGGAGGAAGAGAGGTCACTGTGTCTGCGGCTCCTCCCAGCCTGGTGGAGTGAACGTGCTCCCGGGGCTGAAGGTGCTGCTTTTAGATGTGCAGCTAAAATCTCATTGGGAGAGGCCACTGGGCCTGGTGAGGCTGGGGAGCTGCTGCAAGTTGGGAGGAGCTCCAAGTCAGGCCCACTCTGTTTGGGGTGCATGCCTGGCCCGGCCTCCAGCCCAGGACTGGTGCCCAGAGACGCCGAGGCTGCCCAGGAGTTTCCAGCTGTATGCCAGCACAGATGCCCAGGCAGCTGGCCTCACTGCGTGTCTGTCTCTGTCTCCCTGGCGCGGGCCTCACAGAGGCCCAGCTTCCCTGTGTGCAGGTCCTGAGTGAGGCCTGTGTCGGGGTGGGCAGGAGAGCCCACTGTGGGCAGGGAGACTGGTGCAGGCCTGGCTCTGCTCCCAGGGCTGGCCCATGGGCCAGGCTGATCCTCTCCTGGAGCCTCAGTTTCCTCATCTGTGAAGTGGGCATATCACACCCACCTCATGCAGTCACCGAGCAGACCACACTGGGAAACCACACAGTGGCCCTGGTGGTCACATGCAGGCCTATGTTCAGCAGTGCACACAGTTGTGACTGCCCTGGGTGTCCACACATGAGAATCTTTCTGTACTACTGGTCAGACATCCCACCTCATCACCCCAAACCCTCTAGAGACCCAGGGACTCCCCCAGAGCCCTGGCGGGATCTCACTGGCCAGCGTCTTGGTTGGTGGTTGCCCTCCTGCAGCAGCTCAGTGTCCCTAGGACATCGCCGTTACCTGCTTTCTCCCGGCAGGCCTCAGGAGTGTCCACGGGAACTGAGGTGCACAGAGGTTTGTCAGGGCTCAGGCCCAGCCCAGGGCTCCTTGAGCGTTGGGCAGGAGGACACCCCAGCACGGAGGGAGCAGAGTGCAGGCTCCGAGGGAGGGGGAGGGACACCCACCTTCAGGAGGATGGGGAGGAGGGACGCACCTTCAGGAGGATGGGGAGGAGGGACACACCTTCAGGAGGATGGGGAGGAGGGCGCCCACCTTCAGGAGGATGGGGAGGAGGGACGTACCTTCAGGAGGATGGGGAGGAGGGACACACCTTCAGGAGGATGGGGAGGAGGGACACCCACCTTCAGGAGGATGGGGAGGAGGGACACCCACCTTCAGGAAGATGGGGAGGAGGGACACCCACCTTCAGGAGGATGGGGAGGAGGGACACCTACCTTCATGAGGATGGGGAGGAGGGACGCACCTTCAGGAGGATGGGGGAGAGGGACGCACCTTCAGGAGATGGGGAGGAGGGACGCACCTTCAGAGATGGGGGAGGAGGGACGCACCTTCAGAGATGGTGTGGACACAGAGCACTGGCGTGACGATGACAGTGCTGTCTTGTCGTCCCGAATCTCTT